TGAGGGAGCGGGAGGAGCAGGAGGACCAGGGGAACGTGGAGATGGGGACATGAGAGGGGGCGACAACGATGAACAAGGACTCGGAGCTTGAAAAGTGGCCTTCGCTGGGGCGAGAGCGCCATTCTGAACGACGGGAGCAAAGCGCCGATCTGAAAATGAAGCTCACGCTGCAGCGGGAGCACCATGTGAAAGACCGGAGACCATCGAATTGTAAAAAACCTTGAGACAAATCAATATCTGAAATCCTGTGTGTAAGCACCTTACGCGTAGAGGGCCGAACATGTGCTAGACAGAGTCAGGGAAGAGAGGAGAGTAGTATTCATAATGTGTGATTGTCCAGGGACGATCGGGTTTCGTTGGACGCCCTTGCATCCTTCTGCAGACGCCCTTGCATCCTCCTCCTCCTCATCCTCCTCCACTCCCCCCATGCACTGGGAGCGGGTGGGGGACTTCTTGCAAGAGCCTAGCATCCTGACAAGCGTATACGCCCCGAACGCGCTGGAATGAGGAGCACGTCGGTCTCGGAGGCGGCTAGGGGGTCCTTGGGTCCTTCCTCTCGCCCAGGGCGCTCCTCGCAACTGGGGCCGAAAAGAAGCTGCGCTCCACGTGAGCCAAGCTCCTTGTCACAGGGCTTTGTACTCGCCCTGGCTTCGGAATCCGACTGCAGGTGTGCCTCCTCGTTCCCCCCCCCCTCCATTGCAACTCCGGCTCGATCCGCTTTTTTTTGCTCGGGGCGCCAGGGGGGGCCCTCTGCTTGAAGGCATCCGGTGCGAGGCTTCCCCAAAGGACTCGTGCAGCCATGGGAGGCGATGGAGACGCGCTCGACAACAACGCCATCATTGTCACCGACGCGTGCTGCTGCATGTACGACGGCTGCCTCTTCGGGGATGGGTGCATCGGGTGCATGGCGAGCGAGACGATGTGCTGCCTCGAGATGGAGTTCTGCTGCAAGCAGGGCGCAGAGTCGCTGTGCTGCGTCTGCTGCGCGATCCGCTGCGTTTCGCCTACCGTGTGCATCAAGTCGCAGGGCCAGATGTGCTGTCTTGCCGGCGCGGCCGCCATCCCGTGCGACGAGGAGGTGCCTTGCATGGTCGGCACGTGCGGCATCATCTGCTATCCCACGATCGCCATTTGCAAGACGCTGGGCGACATCACGGGGAATTCAGGTGGGGATGCCCCCCCGGCTGAGCAGGTGGGCTAAAGGCTCCCCTGTCTCCGTCTCGTGCTGGCGAAGTTACCAGCGTGGCCGCAAAGTCGAGCCGGGCTCTTGTTTCGAATCCGGCCGTCGCGCAGCAGCAGGTTGGATGCAACAGTTGGGTTTGCGCAAAGCCAGGCGGTGAGGATAGAATGATGGCGTGGAGATTATGTATGGGAGAGGGGGGCAGAAAAGAGAGAGGATAGGGACACGCCAGGTGCGCCCGCGCCATACCTAACATCCTACCCCGCACGCCCATCTCTTCTCGTTGCGCTGCTTTTCTCCATCCGCCGACGCGTGGCATAGCGGACCTGGACCTTCAAAGAGGACCATATCGTGGCATTTTCAATCGGAACAAAAAGGGAGTTGCGCTCAGCGGAATAGGAGGTGGCGTATGAGCAGGAGCATGGGCCAGCAGAAAACGAGGAGGACAAGGAGGAGGACGAGGACGAGCAGCAGCAGCAGGCTCTGGAGTGGAAGGAGCGGGAGGAGCAGGACCAGGGGAAGGTGGAGATGGGGGAACTCAGGAGGAGGCGTAGGAGGTGGCGTATGAGCAGGAGGATCGGCCAGCGGAAAACGAGAAAGATAAGGAGGAGGACGAGGACGAACAGCAGTAGCAGGCACTGGAGTGGAAGGAGCGGGAGGAGCAGGAGGACCAGGGGAAGGTGGAGAAGGGGAACTCAGGAGGGCGACAACGATGAAGAAGGACTCGGATCTTGAAAAGTGGCCCGCGCCGGGCGAGAGCGCCATTCTGAACGACGGAAGCAAAGCGCCGATTTGAACATGAGGCCCACGCTGCAGCAGGAGCAGCTCGCTCCTTGTGAGCCGGTTTCCTTGTGACAAGGCTTTCACTGTACTCGCCCTGGCTGCTGAATCCGACTGCAGGTGTGCCTCCTCGTTCCCCCTCCATTGCAACTCTGGTTCGAGCCGCTTCTTGTGCTCGTGGCGCCAAGGGGCTCTGAAGGCATCCAGTGCGAGGCTTCCCCAAAGGACTCGTGCAGCCATGGGAGGCGATGGAGACGCGCTCGACAACAACGCCATCATTGTCACCGACGCGTGCTGCTGCATGTACGACGGCTGCCTCTTCGGGGATGGGTGCATCGGGTGCATGGCGAGCGAGACGATGTGCTGCCTCGAGATGGAGTTCTGCTGCAAGCAGGGCGCAGAGTCGCTGTGCTGCGTCTGCTGCGCGATCCGCTGCGTTTCGCCTACCGTGTGCATCAAGTCGCAGGGCCAGATGTGCTGTCTTGCCGGCGCGGCCGCCATCCCGTGCGACGAGGAGGTGCCTTGCATGGTCGGCACGTGCGGCATCATCTGCTATCCCACGATCGCCATTTGCAAGACGCTGGGCGACATCACGGGGAATTCAGGTGGGGATGCCCCCCCGGCTGAGCAGGTGGGCTAAAGGCTCCCCTGTCTCCGTCTCGTGCTGGCGAAGTTACCAGCGTGGCCGCAAAGTCGAGCCGGGCTCTTGTTTCGAATCGGGCCGTCGCGCAGCAGCAGGTTGGATGCAACAGTTGGGTTTGCGCAAAGCCAGGCGGTGAGGATAGAATGATGGCGTGGAGATCATGTATGGGAGAGGGGGGCAGAAAAGAGAGAGGATAGGGACACGCCAGGTGCGCCCGCGCCATATCTAACATCCTACCCCGCACGCCCATCTCTTCTCGTTGCGCTGTTTTTCTCCATCCGCCGACGCGTGGCATAGCGGACCTGGACCTTCAAAGAGGACCATATCGTGTCATGCGCAATCGGAACAAAAAGGGAGTTGCGCTCGGCGGAATAGGAGGTGGCGTATGAGCAGGAGGATGGGCCAGCAGAAAACGAGGAGGACAAGGAGGAGGACGAGGACGAGCAGCAGCAGCAGGCTCTGGAGTGGAAGGAGCGGGAGGAGCAGGACCAGGGGAAGGTGGAGGTGGGGGAACTCAGGAGGAGGCGTAGGAGGTGGCGTATGAGCAGGAGGATCGGCCAGCGGAAAACGAGAAAGATAAGGAGGAGGACGAGGACGAACAGCAGCAGCAGGCTCTGGAGTGGAAGGAGCGGGAGGAGCAGGAGGACCAGGGGAAGGTGGAGAAGGGGAACTCAGGAGGGCGACAACGATGAAGAAGGACTCGGATCTTGAAAAGTGGCCCGCGCCGGGCGAGAGCGCCATTCTGAACGACGGAAGCAAAGCGCCGATTTGAACATGAGGCCCACGCTGCAGCAGGAGCAGCTCGCTCCTTGTGAGCCAGTTTCCTTGTGACAAGGCGTTCACTGTACTCGCCCTGGCTGCTGAATCCGACTGCAGGTGTGCCTCCTCGTTCCCCCTCCACTGCAACTCTGGTTCGAGCCGCTTCTTGTGCTCGTGGCGCCAAGGGGCTCTGAAGGCATCCGGTGCGAGGCTTCCCCAAAGGACTCGTGCAGCCATGGGAGGCGATGGAGACGCGCTCGACAACAACGCCATCATTGTCACCGACGCGTGCTGCTGCATGTACGACGGCTGCCTCTTCGGGGATGGGTGCATCGGGTGCATGGCGAGCGAGACGATGTGCTGCCTCGAGATGGAGTTCTGCTGCAAGCAGGGCGCAGAGTCGCTGTGCTGCGTCTGCTGCGCGATCCGCTGCGTTTCGCCTACCGTGTGCATCAAGTCGCAGGGCCAGATGTGCTGTCTTGCCGGCGCGGCCGCCATCCCGTGCGACGAGGAGGTGCCTTGCATGGTCGGCACGTGCGGCATCATCTGCTATCCCACGATCGCCATTTGCAAGACGCTGGGCGACATCACGGGGAATTCAGGTGGGGATGCCCCCCCGGCTGAGCAGGTGGGCTAAAGGCTCCCCTGTCTCCGTCTCGTGCTGGCGAAGTTACCAGCGTGGCCGCAAAGTCGAGCCGGGCTCTTGTTTCGAATCGGGCCGTCGCGCAGCAGCAGGTTGGATGCAACAGTTGGGTTTGCGCAAAGCCAGGCGGTGAGGATAGAATGATGGCGTGGAGATCATGTATGGGAGAGGGGGGCAGAAAAGAGAGAGAGGATAGGGACACCTCAGGTGCGCCCGCGCCATATCTAACATCCTACCCCGCACGCCCATCTCTTCTCGTTGCGCTGTTTTTCTCCATCCGCCGACGCGTGGCATAGCGGACCTGGACCTTCAAAGAGGACCATATCGTGTCATGCGCAATCGGAAAAAAAAAGGGGAGTTGCGCTCGGCGGAATAGGAGGTGGCGTATGAGCAGGAGGATGGGCCAGCAGAAAACGAGGAGGACAAGGAGGAGGACGAGGACGAGCAGCAGCAGCAGGCTCTGGAGTGGAAGGAGCGGGAGGAGCAGGACCAGGGGAAGGTGGAGGTGGGGGAACTCAGGAGGAGGCGTAGGAGGTGGCGTATGAGCAGGAGGATCGGCCAGCGGAAAACGAGAAAGATAAGGAGGAGGACGAGGACGAACAGCAGCAGCAGGCTCTGGAGTGGAAGGAGCGGGAGGAGCAGGAGGACCAGGGGAAGGTGGAGAAGGGGAACTCAGGAGGGCGACAACGATGAAGAAGGACTCGGATCTTGAAAAGTGGCCCGCGCCGGGCGAGAGCGCCATTCTGAACGACGGAAGCAAAGCGCCGATTTGAACATGAGGCCCACGCTGCAGCAGGAGCAGCTCGCTCCTTGTGAGCCAGTTTCCTTGTGACAAGGCGTTCACTGTACTCGCCCTGGCTGCTGAATCCGACTGCAGGTGTGCCTCCTCGTTCCCCCTCCACTGCAACTCTGGTTCGAGCCGCTTCTTGTGCTCGTGGCGCCAAGGGGCTCTGAAGGCATCCGGTGCGAGGCTTCCCCAAAGGACTCGTGCAGCCATGGGAGGCGATGGAGACGCGCTCGACAACAACGCCATCATTGTCACCGACGCGTGCTGCTGCATGTACGACGGCTGCCTCTTCGGGGATGGGTGCATCGGGTGCATGGCGAGCGAGACGATGTGCTGCCTCGAGATGGAGTTCTGCTGCAAGCAGGGCGCAGAGTCGCTGTGCTGCGTCTGCTGCGCGATCCGCTGCGTTTCGCCTACCGTGTGCATCAAGTCGCAGGGCCAGATGTGCTGTCTTGCCGGCGCGGCCGCCATCCCGTGCGACGAGGAGGTGCCTTGCATGGTCGGCACGTGCGGCATCATCTGCTATCCCACGATCGCCATTTGCAAGACGCTGGGCGACATCACGGGGAATTCAGGTGGGGATGCCCCCCCGGCTGAGCAGGTGGGCTAAAGGCTCCCCTGTCTCCGTCTCGTGCTGGCGAAGTTACCAGCGTGGCCGCAAAGTCGAGCCGGGCTCTTGTTTCGAATCGGGCCGTCGCGCAGCAGCAGGTTGGATGCAACAGTTGGGTTTGCGCAAAGCCAGGCGGTGAGGATAGAATGATGGCGTGGAGATTATGTATGGGAGAGGGGGGCAGAAAAGAGAGAGGATAGGGACACGCCAGGTGCGCCCGCGCCATATCTAACATCCTACCCCGCGCGCCCATCTCTTCTCGTTGCGCTGTTTTTCTCCATCCGCCGACGCGTGGCATAGCGGACCTGGACCTTCAAAGAGGACCATATCGTGTCATGCGCAATCGGAGAAACATGATCGACCCACGAACCCGGAAAGGAATATAGAACTGTAGCACATGGCAGCGTTTTCAAAGACACCTAATTGGGTGACGGGCAAATGCAATGCTGAGTGTATCGATCTTGATGTACCCTGCCGAGGGCTGTGCTGTGCTGCACCGTGCTGAATTGCGATGCGCCATGCCGCGATTGTGCTCTATAGCGTCATGGATCGAGTCCTCCTGTGCATCCGAGTCCTGACCGAACTGATCTGGATTTTAAGCTCGAGCTGCCTGAACACATAGTAGCTACCCCAGAGCTGATGGACAGGGGAGCATGTCAGGAGGACGCGCCGCGAAACGTCCCAAGGGATGCGCCAGGCGACGTGCCAGGGGACATGACATGGGGTCGCACCGCGGGACGTGCCAAGGGGACGCGCTGCGGAACGCGCCAATGGATGTGCCACGGGATGTGCCAGGGGACGCGCCACGCGACGTGCCAGGGAGACTCGCCAAGGGACGCGCCACGGAACGTGCCAAGGAACGCGCCAAGTTGCAATGTTGAGTGTATCGATCTTGATGTACTGTGCCGAAACATGTGCTGTGCTGCGCCGTACTGAATTGCGATGCGCCATGCCGCGATTGTACTCTATAGCCTCGTGGATCGAGTCCTCCTTTGCATCCGAGTCCTGACCGAACTGATCTCGATCTTAAGCTCGAGCTGCCTGAACACAGAGTAGCTGCCCCAGAGCTAATTGACAGGGGGACATGCCAGGAGGACGCGCCGCGGAACGTCTCAAGGGACGCGCCAAGCGACGTGCCAAGGGACGCGCCATGGGGACGCACCGCGGGATGTGCCAAGGGGACGCGCTACTGAACGTGCTGGGGAAAAGCGTCTCGCTCGAGACATCCGGTCAAAATCCAGAGAAATCCTGGCAAAACAAACGAATTAGCCGAGACATCCTCGAAAATCCTGCGCGCGGGACGCGGCACGCGCGAGACATCCTCGGAATTCCTGCGAGCGGGACGTGAAAACACTGCTTCTGCGCGGCAGGGGTTTGCTAAGAGTTTTAGGTCTGTCGCCGTAATGTTGCTCAAGCTAAAAACGCCAGCATGATTGTGGGGAACGCCACGAGCAGTGCGATCGCCGCCTCGTGTCTGGCGACTGGCGTGCTGCTCCACTCCGCCAATTGGCTTGGCGACGGGTGGTGTTCGGGCGGTTTCGTCAGGGTCATTTGGACGTCCAGTACCACCAGCACGACCGAGACCAGTGTGACCTGGACGACGGTGGTCGTCGACGCTCCGCTCCCCTGCCCTCCGCCCGAGCCCCTTGAGTGCCCGCGCGGCGGGCCAGAGAGCTTCCACGTCCTGGGCGACGGCGTGACGGGTTCGACGGTGGAGATCCCCAGCTGGCTGCTCCTGCCGGCGCTGGGCGGCGGTGGGGCCGGGCTTGCCTGGGGCGCCTGACGCTGCTGTGCGCGGAGGGCGAGCGACCTCCGCCGGAGGCAGCCTCTGGGCGAGGCCCGCCTGCAGATCAAATGATTCACCTGCCGCCGAGGTCGCTCTTCGAGACGGTCGCTCATCCCACGCCAGGGTCGAGGGGGCTGGTCACGTTCTCGAGCGACCCCAGCTGGGCCCACGAGAGGTTTTTTCTGTGGCCCGTCCCGCCAGACTCGGACGGCGGCCGCTGGGCCAGCTACGTCTACACGCCTGGGGGCGACTTCCACGTGGAGCACGAGACCGACTACAGCAGCCCGGCCCTGCTCACAGGGCGGAAGGGCTACCCGGCGGGCGTCCCTCAGGTGGTGGTGTTCAGCCGGGCGCTGGAGCCGGACGAGGTGGCTGAGCTCGTCAAGAGGGCGCGCGCCGAGGCCGCCGTGATGACGGGGAGTGCGGGGCCCGATTTCAGCGTGCCCGACGCGGTGAACTGAAAGGGGGGCCGGCTGGACTTTCCGGCCTACTCCCCGTTGCAGGCGCCGCGCCTCAGTGCCTGGGGCCGCTGGCTCCGGGGCAAGCAGGCCATGCCCCTCCCCGTCGGCGACGTCGAAGGCGCGGGGGCTGCTTTCGTGCCAGCGTCGGAGCCGGGCGGCGGCACCCCCACGCCCTTGCCAGAGGCTGCCGACGGGCATGGCTGGCTGTGCAGCGACCTGGCCTGTCGGGACGGGGCCTTCGCATTCGGCACCGAGCTGCGTCCTGGCCAGCCGCCGCGCGTCGAGCTGCGTGGGCGCGGCGAGTGCGGCATCGCCACCGACCGCAGCGGAGGTCATCACCCTGTGAAGTTCGTCGAGCTCCGTCGCGTGGCGGAGTGGCGCGAGGCCAAGCAGCTGGGGGCCTCCCGTCTCCGTGGCGGTGGCGAGCAGCTCGAGAAGAGGCTGCTCGACGACGGGCCACCTCGGCCGCCCGCGCTGGCGCCCTCCACGGCCCGAGCCGAGGCGGCCGAGGTCGACGACCTCCGCGCGCGCTGGATCGACGAATTACGACGACGCGGGGGTCAGGCACAAGGAGCGGAAGAGGGTGCTGCAGGAGGCCGCTCAGGAGAGCGCCCAGACTGCTGGGCTCACAGGGCCCCCAGCGTGCCCCCCCGTCTGCAGGAAGTTCCACAAGCGCGGCGGGGCGCCCAAGGCCTGGTTCGCCGAGTGGGCCCGCGAGGTCGGCATCTCGCGCAAGGACCGGGCCTGGCACGAGGTCGAGTGCCTCATCGAGTGTCTCTGGCTGGCCGGCAGCTACGACCAGCTGAACTCGGGGGGGCGTTGCGGCCCTGGAGGCGGTCGCCCAGCGGCTGCTGCAGCACGCGGGGGCCTGCGCGAAGGGCGCTGACAATCCCATTTGGAGCGCGGCCAAGCACCTCGCCCCCGAGGAGATGCGCACGTGCGCCGCGCGCCGGGCGAAGGACGAGCTGGAGCTGGAGAGCCTCCGTGTCCGCGCCCGCGCGCCCCGCTCGGGGGCCGCCCAAGGTGCCGACGCCGCGGCCGCCGCCGCCCTCACAGGGGGCCCCCCCTCGCAGGCGGAGGGGGACCAGGCCGGCGGAGGCAGAGCAGGAGGAGGGAGAGGTAGAGGCGGCCGCGGGCGAGGCGCGCGGCCGCCGGCCACGCGACGCTGGTCGCCGAGGGCGACGATGGCCCGACCGTCGCCCGCGAACCCCACAGGGCTCGTGCCTCCCTGCCTCTCCCTCCTCTGAGCGTCGCGGGCATCCCCGCGGCCGCCACGGGCGGGGGGCGCAGGCGGCTGCTGCGAGACATCCACGCGGCCATCGAGGCGCTGAACTGGATGCGTGGAGGGGATCATCGGCCTGCCCCACGGCAGATGTCGGCGCCCACCGAGAAGAAGGTTTTGGGCCTGCAGGCTGATGTGCGGCAGCGCGTCGTGGAGGCAGACCCCCGCTGGTGCGACGTTGACAGCGCCGTCGGCGAATGTGGAGCCTTGGCCAGACCCTGGAAGGGGCGCTCGGGCTACGCGCCGGCGCCTTCATGCAGTGGCGGGTCCTACGAGTACTCGATGGTATCTATGCCGAGTGACTTGCATGACTCGCCGTCGCTCATCTCGACGTTGCCTTCGGAGGCGAGGAAGCACCTCGAGGATTTTGAGAGGCTCATGCTCCGGCCCGCGCAGGAGTCGGAACTAATGCAACAGCACGAAGGGGTGCCGGGCTGCCACGCCGACCCGGCGCTGCAGAAGGATCCTCGCACCTACGGCCGCTTTGCGCGAAGGGTAGCGAGGGTCGGCATGGCGACCCTCGCTCGAGACCCGGCCTGCGCGCTGGGCGTCTTTTTCGTCGCCAAGAAGCCCGACAAGCTCAGGTTGATCGTCGACTGCCGGCGAGCCAACCAGCTGTTCCAGAAGCTTCCAGGCGTCGCCCTCGAGCGGCGAGGGTTTGTCCAGGGTGGAGATCGACGACCCCGAGGGCCTCCTGAAGGGCCTGCGGGTCCACCTCGGCGTCGGGGACGTCGCGGACTGCTTCCAAAGGATGAGGTTGGTGAAGACGGCGGGGGGCCGACATTCGGCGTTGTTTCTACTGGCCGCCCCTCGCGTCCAAGCACGCCGGCGCCTCCGAGGTCGACGGCGTGGCTGCGAGGCCGGACGAGAAGATCTGGCCCATGTGCGCGAGCCTCCCGATGGGCTTCTCGCGGTCGTTGCACTTCGCCGAGACGGCGAACGCCCAGCGCCGGGGTCGCCAGCCCGCGCTGCGGCAGAGCCAGGAGCTCTCGGACCGGGGGCCCCCCCTGGTCCTCGGCGAGCCATCCGCCTCGGCAGGATCAGGCCACTTCATGTACTTTGACAACGCTGGCGCGCTCTCCTTCGACGGCGACCTGGCGGGTCGCGCTCCGGCGGGGGCCCAGAGGGACTTTGACGCCGACGCGCTGCGCATCCACGAGATGGAGGTTTTCGACCACGGCGGGCCGCCCTTGGGCTGGCATCTTGACGGCGACGCCCGAGTCGCCCGGCCCAGCGACAAGCGTTTCGCTCTGGTGCGCCGTGGCGTCCGGGCGCTGCTTCAGCTGAGGAAGGTCTCTGGCTGGCAGGTCGAGGCCGTCTTAGGGCGCGTCACTTTCCTGAGTTTGATGCGTCGGGGGCTTCTCGATCTCGATCTTCCACGCGGTGTATCGCTTCGTTCGGGAGTCCTACACGAAATTCCAGCGGCTGCGGGTCTCGGCTCGGGAGGAGCTCAACGCTTTCCTCGGGGCCATGATCTTCGTCGAGGCCGACTGGAGCCAGCCGTGGACGCCCTGCGTCTACGCCAGCGACGCGAGCCCCCGCGGCTTCGGCGTCTCCCAGCCCCCTTGGTCGCATCGGGGCGCGGCCGAGGTCGGGCGCGTGCCGGAGCTCAGTCGCCACCGCCTGGGCGGCGCCCGGGCCCGAGAGCACGCCTTCGAGGTCGCCGGCTTCCAGGTGGACCCTGAGAGCGGCGACGCGGAGCGCGACTTCCTCGGCCGGCCCGCGCGGCTCGACAGGGAGGCGAGGGAGATCCTGGAGGCGGCGCGATGGGGGCGCAATGAGGATTTTGCAGAGGTGCCCAGCCGCCTCCTTGCCGGCGACCGCTGGCGCACTATTCTCGCTGATCGCTGGCTCCATGCCGACGACATTTTGCGCCTTGAGGCCAGAGCGGCGGTCAAGGCCGGAGCTCGCGCCCTGCACATTGGGGGTGTGAAAAAACTGTCGCGCCTTCTTGTTCGGCGATAATTCGGCCATCACGCTTTGTTTCGCTCGGGGGAGGTCGAGGGATTTCAGGGTGCTTGCGCAACTAAGGCGATTATTTAGTCTGGCCCTCGCTCGGAATGTCCGACTTCATTTCCGATGGACCCCAGCGAGTTCAAGTCTGGGGACGATGGGGAGCCGAATATACGACACTTTGTATGACGCTGAGAAGACCCTTGTTTCTCACCTGGGCACCGAGCTGCCGCGTGCGGAGCCCGAGCCTGAGGTCAGTCAGGCCGATCCCTCCCCCGACTCGAACCTCCTCCTTAGCCATGTGGGCTCCAGATATGTTTCTCAGGCCGATCCAGTTTCCGCACCGAGCCTCAGCCAGACCGATGCTGTGAGAGCCACAGAGGGACCGGCGCCGGCGGCTGCCGTCGGCTCCCGGCCGCCCTCCGGGCGGACGTCCGCCCGCGTCGTCGGCCTTTGCGCGCAGTCGCTGCTTGACTGCGTCCCTGGCTCGGCCGAGCTCGGAGGGGCAGGCGACCCGCGTACGCGCCCTGACCCTGGAGCGGGGTCTGGCCAGCCGCCTGACGATGCACGGCCGTGCTCTGGGGCAGGGCCGGCACGAGCGTCTCGCGGGCTCCGCTCGAGCGCAGACGACGCAGGCCTTCCTGGGGCAGGTGGCGGACGAGATCCCCGACAGGTGGGCCAGGGCGCCAGGCCCGGCTGGCCGAGGCGCCCCCGCGGACGCCGAGGGAGAGAGAGGACGGCGGCGAGAGCGACGACTCCTCGGACCCCGAGGAGAGGGCGGCGACAGCGGCCCGCCAGAGGGCCTTGCGCCGACGCGGGAAGAACTGCGTGCGCCAGTGCCTCAGCGCCCTGATAGGCGCGGCCCTCCTAGGCGCGCGGCTGACGCCGTTGGAGGCCAGGTCCGTGACCGAGGCAGCTGCTGCCCAGTACCGCCAGCGCGTCCTCGCCTTCTTGAGCTGGGGCCCCTTCTCAGAGACGGTGCTGGAGGAGCCCGCGCGCCTGGGCGTCGCCCTGACCGACTTCACGAACCACGAGTTCGAGCAGGGTCACAAGCGCTGGGGGGGAGAGAAGCTCCTAGCGGGCATCATCTTCCACTCACCGCGCTACGAGACGAACGGCTACGACAAGCTGCCGCGCACCCTGCGCGCGTTGATGGGATGGCGCAGAGCGTCGCCATCTCGCTCGAGAAGGCCCTTGACAGTGGGCATGCGGGCGCCCATTGTGGTTGAAATCGCGAGGCTGGGTTTTTCGATGGCCGCAGCGCTAACTTTGATCATGGCAGAGGGTCGCCTGCGCCCTGGAGAGATGCTGGGCCTGACGCCGGCATCGTTCCTGCCACCCGCCCCCGGCGGGGTGGCCACGCGGGCCCTCTTGCTCTTCCCGCAGGAGGGCAACCTGCGGTCCAAGACCGGCAAGAGCGACGACAGCATCCCTCTGGATTCGAGAAGGTTCGGCTGGATGGACGCGATCTACCAGGTGCTCTCCAGGCGCCCCCAGGGCTCGGCGCGCCTCCTGGATTGGAGCTACCGCGAGTGCGTCCGCCAACCTGAACTGGGCGGCGGTGCTGCATCAAGGGCGTCACGCGGGGGCCAGCGCCGACCGCGCCAAGAACCTCAGGATTCAGGAGCAAGTGATGAAGCGCGGGAGGTGGCAGGCCCTTCGGAGCGTCAGGAGGCTCGAGAAGGCCGGGCGCGCCAACCAGGCGTGGCGGGAACTAGATGCCGAGGACCTGGGCCACGTCTGGCTCTGCATGAGGATGATCGAAGGGATTTTCGGGATCTTCCTCCGCGGGCGCGCGGCGCCCGCGCCGCCGTGCCTCAGGCGCGGAGCGGAGCCCGACCCCAAGCGCGTCAGGCGCTCTTGACGGCTCCGAGGAGATACGTTCTCGATCTTTTTGGCGGCGGCGGCGGCGGCGGTCTTCGCCGAGCCGCCGCGCTCTGGGGCCCCCCCGTAGTCAGTTCGGACTTGCGGATGCTCCTGACGGCCAGGGTGAATTTACGTTTGATCCTCAGGCAC